TAGGCCATGAAGTCTTTCAGAGTTAACTTCAGCATTCTTAAATGTGTTGTATGTTTTATGGACTGGCTTTAACAATCTACAAAAATGTATTATGCTATAAACTTAACAGGGAAGCAAGAACAGGTTATATTACATAAAAAAGGGTGAATTAACACTGTCTAGGAAACGCACCTACTGACTTTTTGACTTGTAATGCTAACTGTGCAAGTATTGCATTAATTTAGGGTTCTTCTGGTAATAGCTTTTTTTAATGTAGAGGTTAGTTAGGTAGGGAGTGTCAGGGCAGCACAAGGGCCAGTGGCTCCCTGGTGGCCAGGATGCTGGGCTCCATCCCACCATCCCCAGTGAAAAAGCAGGGCAGATCGAGGGGACAGTCCCCTGCCCAGGGCATCACGCACCTCCATGGGGCTGGGGCAAAATGTTAGCCTGTGGGTAGGGGTCAGGATGAGCCCCAGCAAGGGGAAACAGGGTCAGACACTGCCCCAGGATGGCAGGGCCATGGGGATGGGGATGGGCCGACGCCAAACTAGGATGTCAGTCCACGGGTTGGGCCTGGGTTAGTGGGCCCCTGGCTGGGCAGGGCTGTGGTGGAGCTGGAGATTGGATCCTGCAACATCACTGGGGCAGGGACTGATGGCCCCAGGCTGAGATGAAATGGGGTCCTGGGCCATGGGCAGGGGTGGGGACAGCCACCGGGGAGGAACTGATCAGGGCCATTATAGCCTGTTAGTGCCCTCAGGGCTGTGACAGGGTGAGGGGGAGAAAAGTTTCTTAGTAAAAGGTAAGTATTTCCATCCAGATCAGTTTCAGCTTCTGATTCTGCATATGAAAGGCACCTGTGAAAAGCATGTGCACAGAGCTCTGCTAGTTGCCACAGTAATGAATTCATCCTACCATGACATGAAAAGAGTCATGGTGGAGGTCTCAGGTGCCAGTGGGTGAGGAATTCTGTTTGGCAGCATCTTCTGTCCAAACCATCAGGGGTTTGTTCTTCCTCATATAGGGCATTGTACAGAGAAACATGGACTGTTTCCTGTGGCACAGAGATCCATAGGTGCTAGCCGTGTAGCAGGTCAGTCTATCCAGAGTAAAATATGGTCCCAGTGAGTGTAGCTTTAACTGGGTCATTTCGTACACTCAAAGACACTATTTGTGTCGTCATTTCAAACATTGTGCATTAGTCTTTTTTCTCCCAGTATTTTAAAGACATCTGTGATGCTGATATGAAGGAAAAAGAATTTAAATGATTTCAACAGGAAATGGACTTTTGTACAAGATTGCCCCTCCCCTTCCAATTTCTTCTCGTGCAGCAGCTGCTGTTGCCAGGCTTTGTTGCTATGGTGGTGTTTTGTGTGCCAGAATTTTACATTCACTCTTGAAGAGTCACCTGATTGAGTGGCTGTGCCACATAAGTTATCAATCAGTCCCACTCATAAAGGATATATCTGACTGCTATCGTTACGTACATATGACATCTAGTAAATGGATCAAATTAAGTACAAACATATTCCATTGGCCATGAGTTTATGTAAGTATTAATTTAGCAGGTGAACTCTTTTAGTAAACGAGTGACAAAAAATTATGATCTCTCTTGGGACTACTGCATTTGGTAGGTTTCATTTCTTAACAGTCACACACAAGGCAGTTTCCCTACACCTTGTGGCACTCATCTCTCATTGGTAAGATTTGAATTCTACTGTCTGCATTATTTGAAAGGTGCTTTTCTCAGAATGACTGAGCTTTTATCAGAAAGATAGTGTCAAATTTTCTATATTTCTTTGCTGGAGAGTTGTTCTGTAGAACTTAATGATCTTGGTCCCACTGATAATTAAAGCATAATTTGGCCCAATTTAAAATGGAATTAGGATGATATACTTCTGGTGAAGCTGAGTTTATCTTTAATCCCAAATCCTGCAAACATTGCCACTTGTGCTTAACTCTTAGTATGTTAAGTGCATCATTGCACTGAAGCATTTTCAAGGCTGAGGCCACTGCTGCTTTTCAAAATGTAGACTTAACACCAATAAACTCAGGATAGCAAGTGACATTGAGATATTTCATATATATTTCTCTGAAATAAAATTTTAAAAAGTAAATTTTATTTTTAATGCATTTGTCATGTCACCTTGTGATATAGTCTTTCAGTATACCTTTTGCCATATCTTCATTTGACCTGACTTTGATCAACACCATCTGTTATTTAAATCAGTTACTGCTCCTTTCTGCTATTTGTCTACATAGATCTCCACACGTGTATCTAAAACATACTGTGTATTCAGTTTATTCCCCTGGAAATGAAATACTGGTACCTAAGCACGTTATATAAAATTTATGCTTTACAGGTATATTGCATTCAAATAACTTGTATTATTTACACAAGGCAATCATTTTACTGTCCAGGCTGAGATTTTTGAACCTACAAAAATGAAAACACCCAGAAATCAGTTCCTGCAGCAATATAAGACCAGCATGTATCACATCTGATATGTACAATTTTGAATAACTACCTGAATAAGCCCACTGCTGAGTTTATTTCTAATGGTACATCCTTCCTTTAATTTCTTGGAACTAAAAGGGGCTGAGTCAAGAAGAAACAGAAGATATGCATAATACTTCATATATTTAGTGAGGCTTACTGCACATTTGGAGAAAAGTGTCTGGTTCTTCTTTTGACAGACTTGGTCCAATCATCTAATGATAAGATACTTGTACTCTTTCTGGGTGTAACAATCCTGCTGAGTGCAGCTGGTTTCCAGGTCACTAATTCCATGCTTTGTGGAAAAGAAAGCTTGAATTTAGACATGCACTGAATTTAAGTGTTTGCAATATGTACTACATATCAAGAAATGTATTCTTAGCTGGAGCAGATGCTAATTAAGCAATGGCGGTAACACATAAGCTAGCTATCCAGGTTGAAACTAAAATTCCCACTGATTTCACTGAGCCCAGGATTTCAGCAAAGGCTGAATCATAAGCACTTTTCAGAATTGTTGTTTAAAAGGCACAGTCATAGCGCCATTTCCTTTTGTGCTTCTTCCTTCCTTTTGATGCAAAATCCATTAGGTATCTGCCATATAAAAGGCACGTTTCTCTTCAGCCAAATACCATCAGATTAAAATACTTAAGTCTGAAAAGCCACAAAATTGCTCCAAACAATACTTCATATCCGAAATATCAGATACTAGTATCAGAGCCTATACTGATCTATAGGATCACCTCTTCCATGTTCAGATTAACAGACTGCTAGGAGTCTATGGTATCATCAGGAATCATGAGGTATCAACGTGAATTGTGATTGTTTTTCCCTAACAAAGACTGTAAAGAAGGGTAGGCCAAGTGAAAATGTATTACGGACTTGCTGAGAAAACTGCCACATTTTATATAGTGGTTTTAACTACTACCATAGTAGTTTTATATCTTCCAAACAGTTGATTTCAGTAGACTGCCGTAAATACGAGTGCTTAAGGGATCACAGATAAGTACTGTAACGTCTGTGCTCTTTCCTCTTATTTTCTGGGGGATTTTAATATTATTATTTTATTTATATTCTTTTGTATACTATATGCCGGGATGAAAAGGCAGTTGTGAAAATGGTACTGAAAATCTCTCTCCCTTACCCCATCACAGAGCACTCCTGTACTTACATCCATGCAGTCAAACCCAGAATTTGTTATTGTTTCTTTAAGTCATGGCAAATGAATGGAAAGTAAAGCACAGCAGTGAGAAAGCAGACTTTCATCCTGACTGATGTTCCACCCGCATTTGCATGGAAGGTTGATAAGAATAAAAAATAGATCAAATGGATTAATTGGCCTTGGAACATGTATGCTGCCTGCACGGACTATTGTAAAGGAGCAGATTCAGCTCCCACTAAAGGCAATGAAAAGTTTCTTATTGAAGGGGAAGAAGTTGGAAGAGGCTCAGAGGAAGAGCTTTAACAACTCTGTAACTACAGTAAGAGCATATTGAGAGTCCAATATGCCAGTTTTGTAGCTTTTTAATTAAAAGAAGCTACATCTCCCCACTCAAATTGTATATATTTTTCCTAGTAATTTTTTGAAATATCATTCCTTGAAAGTAAATAAATTTTTCTTCAAAGACATTCTTTCTACATCGTTTGCTTTGTCTATAGTAGGAGTTTGGCCTGCTGCCCCTAAATCGTGAGGGTCAATTGGAAACCTCTACAGAGAAATTAGAAATCTCATCTGCTGTGTCATCTGATGCTTTGCCTCTGCTACGACTGCACATGGGCTCTAACAGAGAGAAAGTCATTTGTGGAGCACATATAACTTTGTTCTTCAAAACCCTTTCCTTAAAACCCCTGGATTTAGGATTTTGCTGGGCGAGAGGACATTTTGCCTTTTGAGTTTAGTATACCTAAAACTGAATTCAGGTCATGTGCCTTTGTTTTCAGGAAGCCCCTTCATCTTATGGGAGCAAAAAGCTTTGGTAAAGCAATTTCTGTGTATTTAAAGCATGAAGCCTTGATGGGAGTTCTATGTGCCACTCTCTAAATCCTAGAGTCTTTCGTCTTTTGGCATCCCATTCATTGTTTTGCAGGCTAAGCATTGCCCTTCCACTCTGCTTTTGCCATAACTATTTCCTAAAATTGCACTCAGTGTGCTCACCTCGTTCCGAAGACTGACACTGGGGAGAGGTACCATTCGCTGACCACATCTCTCAGTAGGACGAGCGACATAGGCACTCACCTTTCCTCCCATCTCGGGCATTACGGTGCATTAGCAGAGACCCGTGCGTGCCTCTCCCTCAGTGCATTTTTCAAGCGTCTCCCCGTTGTCCTTCTCGCCTTGGTGGGGCCGAGGGAGCTGACCGGGACCGCACTTCGAGGAAGGCAACTGCTGGGCGCTGGTGGCCCGGGACCAGGCCCCCCCACCTAGGCCTCAGCCCGGGGCGCAGGCCCGGGGGAAGCGAAAGCCCCGGGGGGGAGGCCCCCGGCCGAGCTCCCCCCGCACAGCTCGGCGCGGGG